CTAAATCAATAAGAAACTAGATAAATAAGAAACCATTAGAAGGATAATAAGAGAGAGAGAGAAAATACCTCTCTGTCAAGCTGGAATGATGCTGTCCGAACTTCACCTGTTGCTTTGTTAATGACAAATGCATTAGGATCATCAGGTTCTTGTGAAATAATCTTAAAAGCAATTTGGGAGTTGGGTGTATTGGGTTCATCTGCATCAGTTGCACTTATCTTCAGCACAAGAGTACCTAAAAAGGAGTAAGCATTTTACAAGGGTATATCAAATGGCAATGACCAAAAGTGCACATTTTCTTCCTGACCACTATAACTGCCCTGCTTTTAACACCATGGCCACACACCATTCTTGAAGGCACAGGGGAGCAACTAATCCAATGTAATCTCAGCTTCTGAATACTGGAAATGTACACGTAATAGAATAGAATAAAACTGGAAGGGACCTTGGAGGTCTTCTAGTCCAGTCCCCTGCTCAAGCAGGAGAATCTATACCATCTCAGACAAGTGACTGTCTAGTCTCTTCTTAAAAACAAGCTGTTCCATTGGTTAATTGTCCTCACTGTTAGGAACTTTCTCCTTAATTCCAGGTTGTTTCTCTCTTTGATCGGTTTCCAACCATTGTTTCTTGACCTGCTCTCTGGTGCTTTGGAGAATAATTTGACCCCCTCTTCTTTGTGGCAGCCTCCCAAATACTGGAATACTGCTATCATGTCACCACTATTTCTTCTTTTCTTTAAGACTAGCCAAACCCACATCCTGCAGTCGTTCTTCATATGTTTTAGTCTCCAGTCCTTGGATCATCTTAGTTGCTCTTCTCTGAACTTTTTCCAAGGTCTCAACATCTTTTTTGTACTATGGTGACCAAAATTGGTTGCAGTATTCCAGGTGTGGTCTCACTAGGGTTTTATAAAGCGGTACTAATACTTTACATGAACTTGATTCTACGCCTCTGTTTATGCAACCCAGAATTGTATTAGCTTTTTTGGCTGCTGCTGCACACTGCTGGTTCATAGTCAAGTGATCGTCCACTAGGACTCCAGGGTCCCTCTCAAAAGTTACTGTTTTTGAGCCAGGTCTCACCTAATCTGTACTTATATCTTTGATTTTTCTTGCCTAAATGTGAAACTTTGCTTTTCTCCACATTAAAACTCATTTTGTTGGATAGGCCCCATTGTTCAAGTTTGTCAAGATCTTTTTGAATCCTAAGCTTGTCTTCTGGGGTGTTGGCTATTCCTGCCAGTTTAGTATCATCGGCAAATTTGATGAGTTCCCCTTCTATTCCCTCATTTAAGTCATTGATGAAGATATTGAAGAGTACTGGGCCTAAGATGGAGCCTTGTGGTATCCCACTGCTTACTTCTCTCCATGTGGTTGTAGTACCATTGAGAACTATTCGTTGAGTACGGTTTGTCAGCCAGCTACAAATCCATGTGATGATGATGTTGTCTATTCCATCTTTTCTAGTTTACCAAGCAGTAGATTGTGGTCTACTTTGTCAAATGTCCTACTGAAATCTAAGTATACTATGTCCACAGCGTTTTGCTGGTCTACTAATTTGGTCACTTTATCAAATAATGAAATAAGATTGGTTTGGCATGATCTGTTTTTAACAAACCTGTGCTGGCTACCAGTTATAACTTTGTTTGCTTCTAGTTGTTTTTGATTATCTTTTCCAGGATCTTCCCAGGTATTGATGTTAGACTGATTGGTCTGTAGTTTTCTGGGTCCGTTTTTCCCCCTTTCTTGAAGATGGGAACCACATCAGCCCTTTTCCAATCCTCAGGTACTTCCCCGCTGCTCCAGGATTTTTGAAAGATACGGTGCAATGATTCTGAGATAACATCTGCCAGTTCCTTCAGAACTCTGAGATGTAATCTTTCGGGTCCCGGTGATTTATATTTGTCAAGGTCGGATAGGTGTTCTCTTACCATTTTCTTGCTTATTTTAATTTTTGTTTCTAGTTTGTCTTTTGCAATATTTTTTTTGGTATGTTGTGCTATAATTTCTTTTTGTGTGAAGACTGATGCAATCCTTGACTTACGACCACAATTGAGCCAAAAATTTCTGTTGCTAAGTGACACACTTGTTAAGTGATTTCCCCCCCCCCCATTTTACAACTTTTCTTGCCATAGGTGTTACGTGAATAACTGCATTGACTTTGCTTGTCGAAGGCAACAAAAGGGATCGTATGAACCCAGGATATTGCAACCATCATAAATATGAGTCAGTTGCCAAGCATCTGAATTTTGATCATGTGACCATAGGGCTGCTGCAATGGTCATAAGTGTGAAAAATGGTCATAAGTCACTTTTTTCAGTGCTGTTGTATGGTCACTAAATGAACTATTGTAAGTTGAGGACTCCTGTATTGGTGTGATGCATGCCATGAATGCTGAGTCAGATTGAAAATGTAAATAAAAGTCTAGAACGTACCCACTTCACACAATTCTTCAACAGAACCCATGAAAACTGTTTGTGAAAACACTGGGCTATTGTCATTTACATCCATAACTTTAATGCGTAGATCCAGTGGCTTTTCCAGATTTTCACCTCTTTGATTCAGTGCATAGCCCCTCAGCTGAAATAATAATAACATGAAGTCCACATGATTAATTTCATTCAATTCAATTGATTCAATTAACAGGAAAATAAAAATAACAATTATTACTGAATTATACTGCTCAGTCTTTTCCATTGGCACATTAAGAAAAATAAATTCCTATAAATACAGTAAAAATCAAGAGCCGATAACTAGTATGAATCTATATACCAAAAAGAGACAAGAGTTTCATCTGCTTACATATAACATTGGTGTTTGTTCCCGATCGACTATTCCAGTTATGTTCAATTCTCCAGTTTTCCCATTAATCACAAACAAATGATATGGTGGTTCTGTGACTCCTTGGCCAGAAATGGTGTAAGTAATAATTACTCCAGGTTCAACATCTTTGTCAGACCGAATCTATATGGAATAGGAGAAAAGAAACAATATTTTTGTTTGTCTCTGAAACTTAAAACAAATATGTTTTAATGTTTAAAAAAGATGAAGATTTATGTTATTTTAGTTTTCTTAATAATTAAGTAAAGATGTGCAAAACTTTTTATTCTGGGAATATAACATTCTGAGAAACTCTAGAAAAACTCTGTTTTTTCTCTGGACCATTCCAATCTATCTGCTTCAAGGTTGGTCCAGCAATTTCCTGAATGTAAATCTCCTGGAAGAAGTGGTTTGCATTGCTCTGGATGCGGCCTGCTTAGTTACTGAATCAATGAATCATACAAATCACAAAAATGACTTAATTCCATAACCAAGTCAAGTGTTTGTATGAACCAGCCTTTATAAACTTAAAAGTAGACAATACTTTAAGAGGTAGGCAGAAATTTTAAACCATATTAAATAGATCTAATCAGCAAAGTTGCAACTCATCCTCCAACAGATGGATCATTATATGTAGAAAAGGCTGCCCACAAAACTAAATGGAGAAAGGAAAGAATCTCATGGAGCCTTCTTCATGCATGTGCAGAACAGATAGTTGCAAATGAAACAAAATAGTATAAATTTGTCTATGTACTGATGTTCTCTTCTGTCCACTGTCCAGGATCTAGCTAATTATAATTACATTTCTCATTGGGGCAGGCAAAAGTCTTTTTAGTTAATCCTCAATTTTGTCTAGTAGGTGAGAGTAAGGCAAATATATTAAATCCCTTTAATAAGATCACTGTATTATAATTTAGCTAATAATTGTGGCCATTTCATTTTTTTCTAGTAATAAATCAGAATTATATAACTGATAATATGATTGTTTTACTCAATTTGACACCTTCTATCCTTGATAGGATTGCAACTCCAGCTCAAGTTGAGGAAAGCTATTAAGGACAAAATAAAAGACATATTTGTTTCCAAGCCTGACTTACCTTAGCAATTGGGTTCTTCTGGGAATTGTCACGTTCTTCCCAGACCATGGAAGGTGGAACAATCCATTCTCGCTTTTGCCTGATTAGGCTTTTCTGATGGAATACTTGCTCATGCCTTCCGCCAAGAATCTATGAGGAAATCCAGTTTTATTTGCAGCAGAGCAAATTTTCTTATTGCCATACTGTCAAACCAAAATCATGAAGCCTGCCATTTTAAATGCACATTCTTATTTTTCATATAAATAATGGGATTCATAACAGAAAATACATGGCATACTTCAATATAAGCAACAACACAATATTTGCATTATAAGAATTGACATTGTTTCTAATAAAGTATGTATATTCTGAAAAACCATAAGCACTTACAGGAAGGAAAAAAATATTATTGATCCGATGCACTGTTCATCTTTCAACAAGGAAATTGTAAAAAAAATTGTTCTATTCTATGGTTTCTACAATATTTTACATTACTTTCTATATATCATATATGCATTTTACAAGTGTTGGAAATAAATTATTTATAAAAGTTTCCCTAAACCTTTAAAAATCTTCTTAGTAATATACATAAGCATGTGCAGAAAACCCCTTAAAATTGATAGTCACTTACCTCTAAATGAAGTCCATTTCCAAAGATTACATAACTCTGCAATAAACAGATATAGCAATTAAAAATATAACTAATCTCCCAATATAAACCACTAGGAAAATTAACACTGAACAAATCTTTTGGCCTCAGTGAAATTCAGTTAAAATAGTACACATTACTCCACCCAGACAATATTAAGAATATTTAAACTATTTTTTAAAATAATAAAATAGATGCATATTTAAAACCAAATCAACAGTAGGTTTTCACATTTAATATGGCCAGAGAATGGAAGTAAACTGTGAAATTTCATAGATGTGAATACAAGTGAAACCTGAAAACAGTTAAATCAGCATTAATGGGTTAGGATAGTTTTGCATTTTAGATAAGCGCTAACAGAAGAGAGAAAGCAAATACAACTTTTCAAACATGTTCCAGGGATGTAGTAATGCCCCTTTCCTCTTGAAACCTTGAAATTGATTAATTACAATACCTAAGAAAAGTTCACCACCTCTATTATTTAAATAGTGGCTTACCACATGTAGTCAAGGACTATGCAGCCTTGAACTTCCCATAGTAGTCTTATAAGTCAACTAACCATAATTAAGCTACCATTAACAGAAGATGATCCAGAAATGTCAGTTTGGCATATACTCAGCATACCTTTAAAAAAACAATTTGGTTTAATTTACTTTTTAGTTAAGATTTTTAGTTTAGCTAAGCGTTTTATTAAAAAAATACTGTGTTTTTTTCCCTCTGATATGCCTACCTTATATAGACTTAATATTTCAGATATTGGCAAACAACAATGCATTTGGAGTTTCAATTTGAGAAACCACACGGTTTTATAAATTGTGAACAGAGAACAGTATTGTGCTAGGGAAACTAAAAGTGTGCACAACGATTATCCGGGAAATTGCCTGCCATTAATATGAAATGTAATTATTGTAATGTAAAGTTAATTATTGTCTTTCAAGTCTTGGGAAATTCTCAAAAAGGTTTCTAGTCTAGGGAAGGTTTCTATTTTAGGGTGGATTTCTTTGGTTTTAGTGATAAATGCATTTTCTTTTCCCATGTCAAAACCTGTCCTACCCTGATATGATTCATATCTCTGTCAGAAGGGCGAAGTTATAAACCAAAGTTTCTTCAAGAAACTTCGTAGTGACATGGAACTGCTCTGTATGTGTGGCACAGTTGTTATACATAAATAGAACATTATGAACTCCTTTACAATCTCTCAGATATTGTATTAACTAGACTTAGGATCTAAATCTATAGCTGTTTTTCTCAATCTTAGTGGCTTTAAGATATTCTTCGTCTTCCTGTGCCATATCCGTTATCGGATGTTGGCGATCATGTTGGTGATCCTGTTTCTTTCAGCAGCCACACGAAAAAGTGCTGCTGAGTTTTGTCCAAACTCCCTTAGTCCCTTAGATTTTGAAGCCACGATGTTCTTCTTCTGCCTGGACCTCTTTTGCCTTCAATCTTTCCCTGGAGGATTAAATGGAGAATGTCGTATTTTTCTGGGTGTCGCATCACATGTCCAAAATATTCTAATTTTCATTTTTTAATTGTTTTGATGATTTTCCTTTGCTTTCCCAGGCGGCTTATCGTCTCATTTCTGATTTTGTCAGCCCAGCTTATACATAACAGCTGCCTTCAATTCCCAAAAATTGCTATCTGGGGAATTCTGGGAGTTGAAGCTGCCCATCCTGAAGTTGCTAAGTTTGAGAAACTCTAGAGCAAGAAAGTTATCTCATGCTATCAAACATGAGACTCTGTATTAAAATCAGTATTTATCACCTGAATCAATTTTCCTTGATAATGTCCACTGTTTAAAATATATTGGAACAAGGCCAGCTGTTAAATATCAAATTCTCCTTCAGCCATCACAGCTCCGTCTCTCTAGAAAGTTCAGACCGATACCCAAATCCTCTTTGTTTTTACAGTCAAGTTCTGTACAAGGGAAAAATACTTAAGTAGACATAGTGGGCATGTATTTCTTTGTGAGTATTAAAGTGAACAACTTCAGGCCAACAAGAAACTGTCATTTGTTTTGTCCTCTCTCTTAAACCAGCAGTCCCTAACCTTTCTGGCTGGCAGTGGCGGGGGCAGCGGGGGAGAGATGGTTTCATGTGCGCATATGCTGATTGTGCAAATGGGGCTTTGCGCGCTCATGCGCTCACCTGCAGCTTTTGCGGCCTGGTTCCCAACGGACCACAGACTGGTGCTGGGCCACGGACTGGGGGTTGGGGACCCTGACTTAAACTGTTATTGGCTTTCAGAAGATAGACCCCCCCACTTAACAGCAATACAAGGATTGTTGCAGGAAAAAAAGCTAAATTTCTTCACATCCAAATGTATTAATATTCTGCATGCCCTCAGCTGGTATTATTTGCTTAGGAAGATACAGGGGTCAATATAGTTTCAGTCATGCCAACCAAGAACCACGACCTCAGGCCCCTTCGAAACAATCAGCAAGGTGGAGGCCATTTTGAACTGGGGATACTTCATTCCAGCTGCATGATAGAGAAGGCTTCCTTCTGGGGTCCTGATAGATGGCATTGCTTAAATGAAGGAACCTGAAGCACACCCTGCCAAATAAATTGGCTAGGTAGATACTGCAGGAAAGATGCTCTCGAAAATGAACACATTACTTAGGCTTTCCAATCAAATAAAAAACAGCAATGTATATAAGAACTCATTCTCCTAATACTCCAGGTCCTTCTACTTAGGATTTGATGTGCATTCAGCTAAGCAATCACCCAGTTTGTGCCTTTTGGACTTATAGAAGTCCGATTTTGTCCACTATTTCCAGGGGTTCCACACAGGATTTTTCTGACCGTTGTCATGCTTTGGAGGTTATTAGCATGCCAATTATAAAACTATGGATTTATTTTGAGCTCTGTGTTGATTACACCAAGTCCAGATTTGATATTGGAATAAGTAGAGCAGAAATAACTTTGTGTTGTAAATATAATTCTAATCCTCTATGAGAATAGCATCGTCCTATTTGAAGATGTGATGCTCCCATTTAAGGGAAAGTAGAGATAAGAATGCACTTTTCCCTTGTTAATACATCCTAGATATATTCCATTCTGAACCTTAAGTATGTATTTGCAATGAATCATGTAGTAATCCATCACTGAACCCAATGAACTCCCTATATGTTGCAACTAAAATTCCTTTGGGCATGCAGACTATTACATTGGGACTGAACACTCAATATTTCTATAAGGCACCAGGTTGGAAAAGGGTGATATCATTACTTCTGCAATGCATGAAAGTCATAGACCTTACTGAACTCAGTCAACTGACTCATCACAAATTCCTTTTAAACTAACTTTCTTCAGTGTGGTTTTCTTCAAAGACAGTGTGTGAGAACTCAGTTTTCATTGGTTAGAAGCCATCAGGTTGAACAGGTTTGTCTAGAATGTAGACCTGAAAAACTCCACTTTATCAAAAATAGTGGGAAAGATTTGGGTTTCTGTATCTGCTGCTGTTACCTAGTGGTCATTCATAGTTCTGGAAACAATTTACAGACCACCTGCCATAAGTGGCTTACAAATAAAATAAATACTTTATGGAGGTATATTTAAAAAACATGGGATGACTGTAAAAAAAATCAATAAATTGCACAGATGAACAAATATAAGGAGCTCCACAACCAAATACAGTATGCTTTACAACACGATTATGAACATTATTTAAAAAATAATAATAATAAGCAGAAATACCCATCACTCCTTTGGAGCTTAGGGAGAATTCTAATCCTTCACCAAGATAATAACATATATTACCATAATTAAAAATAAGGAAAGTGATCACGTATGTAAGACAGCCTCTTTCAAAAGAAAGGTAAGTAGAACAACATCAAATTGTATTGGTGTATCTATGTGAATACATTCATTGGCTAGAAGTTATGCTCAAAAATAGGATGAAAATTTAAGTTGATTCAATTAATGACTAAAATTAATTTCCTGAAATATTTAGCCTATTCTGAAAACTGATGCCACATCTACTTATAGACACAAACCATTTTCTTTTCACAAAAGATTTACTTATATGTGTCTCAAACACACTTACATAGAGAAAACAATGATCCAGAAATCCAAGCCAATGATCCATAAACCTATGCATGGTTTCTCTGTGGCAAGGCCCTTTAATTCAATGGTTCTTACTTTGAAGTAGCATGCTTATGCTGCTGAAATGGTGTTCAGATCTGTTTAGCCCAATTTCCTTTATGTAAGGTGGGATACCTGAAGTCCTTGTTATCCTCAGTAACTTCCTCTTCAGTTTGAAGCAAGGAAGCACACTGCAAGGTGCAATCATTTTTACTCTGCAGTCATCTTGTTTATAATGTCTCTATATGTGTCTGCATAAAGACTGTTTTTATGTCTCTTCCAGAGTGTGCATTTCCATGAACAGCCTCCAATGAACAATGGCAGCTGTTCAGTGCAGATACTCATTCTATATTATCCTCTGAGACAAAAAGCAGGCAAAATAAAAATAGACTGGTAAGCTTCTGAGACTGGTAGAACTTGTTTGACCATAGTTCCTAAATGAACAGCATTTCAGGAAATTAATTCATGTTTGCAGGTGTTTTCATTTAAGTCTGAATACATGGTGGCACATCTTTACAATGGGCAGTCATTGCCATTAAAAGATTCAAAATTTCTCCAAGCATTCCCTGAGATAGGAATATCTCTGTAATTCTAGATAATTACTCCTGTACTGTAGTTCTGAATTTGAAAAAATTGCTTAAGCTGCATTCCTCCCTGTGCTTGTTTTGGAAAGAAGTCCTATTTAAGTCAAAGAAAATAAGCATGTAGATCAGTTTGTAAACTGCCTATGGCAACTATATACATTATTTAATAGCAGTGAAAAGATGGCATGAATGGAAAACAGAATACCAAAGAAAGCAAAACAAAATAAGTTAAAATAGGGGAACCAAGACTAAAACTGAGACATTTGCACCTCAGTTTAAAATTCCCCACTCACACCATTTGTTTTTTTCTATTTCAGTTGATTCTGAAGACAAAGTTTGTAATAAAAGGGAAAAAAACATGTTTTGCTTATTTATATGCAGTGATAAGCTTTAGTGTGGATTTTACAAGAAAAATCTGGGACTCAAGCATGAGAGGAAGATGTATATTTAATTTAAGGTGGAGTCCCATTCCTTCAGGAGTATTATGAAAAAGTGTTCTTTATCCAAGACAAAATTAATCATCCTCAGATCTAACAAGGCTGGCAGGACAACATAATGAAACAGGCAACCTTTTGAACTCAGGGAAGAAAAATCTAGACTTCTGTTTTTTGTTTTCCAATTTCTAACATGCAAAAAAGAAGTTAAAACGTTTCAAAATTCCCAACCAAGAGTTCCTTTGTTATACTGGGTGTTGAAAAGTAGCAACCAAACAGGGCTTCAAATCCTGAGATATTTCAGAAATGAAAGATGTTGATCAGCAATCAATGTATGAAGAATTGGTGAATCTAAAATAAGTTTTCTACTAGCCTCTCTACCTATTCAGGAATGAAAAAAAATGCTTGATAAAGGCAATTGAGGCAAATGAATTTTGTACCAGAGAAATAATGGGCTTAACACTTATGCCATTTTCCCATTAAAATCCTAACTCATTCTCTTTTTTCTCCTATTTTTTTTACCCTTTTAGAAAAAAATAAAATAAAGTTAGCTCTATATTTTTTTCAACAAGATTAAAAGCAGCTTATAAGGAGGAGGGATTTTCAATAACAAAAAGTTACAATCGAGAAATTCATAGTTTAACTTTTAAGTAAAAGCCCTCCATAGATGATATTACATTTGCTTAAAAAACATGCAAGGAAAACAAGAATTAGCAAGATGGTTCTATCCTCCTATCACCATTTCCATGGCTCTTGCATTTCAAGATAAAGAAAGAAGCCTCTTCTGAATGTAGAAGGCTCCCTGTGTAATGCTCAATCTAGATTTCAACATTATCCAAAATACTTTCACAACTGATTCCTCATTTCAGATATTACTCTAAATTAAAAAGAATAAGGAAACCAAGATGGGAGTGTATGTGCAGGATGATCCCTCTACCTCTTCACTCAATGCTGAAGTTAGACTGAAAATATCTGAATAGGACTCAAGTCAGTTGCATTTCAGGACTTTCAAAGGCCTTCTGAAACTTAGCATCCATTTGGTCTAATATCTATTTTATAATGGTGGCTAGTTAGATGCTTTGAGTTAGTCCACTAATGCTTTTTTTGCCCCTCACAGAAATATTCAGAAATATTGCTAATGCATTTATTTAGCTGCCATGACCAAAATCCCCGATAGAGCTGATTCTCCATTAATTCAACTGATTCACTTTAAATTCCTTTTAAGGGAAAAGTTGACATCATACCCCATATAGTGCATTCCAAAAATTCTATGTTGTGTAGAGAAACATTCCTTTCTGTTGCTCCTGAATTTACTACTAGTCAGTTTCATGGAAAGAGTGAAAATTCTAGTAATGTGCGGATGAGCCACAGTAATGGTAAGAAGCCATCTTTCTCCATATTGTACATGATTTTATATACTCCTCCCAGAGTTACTAAGAGTTGGGTGGCATGCAAATTAAATCAATTATTAACTTCCTTGATCTGCTTGATTCACTGTATTGGATTATATCTCATTATTTTCGGTATACCTCTGCTAGCATACTAAGAATTTTGTAGACTGTCTTGAAGGATATCAGAATTAGGCAGGCACTCTACTATGAGATTCGTCTCAGACTTTTTTCTTAATACACTGAATCTTTCCTCACAAAGGAGGTATCCAACTTTTTTCTAAATCATTTGTTGTTCCTGTTGTTTTGGGACTCTCAGAAAACAATTTTTTGAATTTTATTTGTAATCCTCTTAACTTCTGCATTAAATTCGCTTATTTTGCTCACAAACAATGCAATTCTATGTATTTATTTAAGATATACAGCTGCCTAATTAATGAGTGTGACTTTGGGTATCTTACAAGTTAAAAACAGAACAATAGGGAAAAAGTCCCATAACTAGCAATCAAGGTATCTGCAAGTATTCACAATGAAATCCTCATAAATTAAGTGGATATAGAGATTGGATGCTTTCAGTGAGCTAACTGAAAATTTACTTGACTCCTTTCAGAGTCTGAAACAATAAACAATAACACTCCTTTAGTAAAATTTTGGTCTTTATATTTAAATTTAAAGCGTTCACTTTTCAGCTCGGCAACTTTACATTTTAGAAATTAAATTTCGGAAGTAGAATTTAACATAGAATTATTCTTTTTTCAATGCTGTGAGTTTCATAAACTGTTGTAATTGCAGATCTTCATAGTGGCATTGAAATATAAGGAGGAAGGAAAATGACGGTTGATAAAATTTCTCTTCAAGGATCTCCTGTGCAGTGCCCATGAGTAAAAGTAAGCTCGCAATAGCTTTCTTTGATCATTCCCAACTTTTTTTTTTTTTTTTTAAGAAAGATAATTTTTGGCTAGAAGGACAGGCAGAAAGGGTCAGAGAGAGAGAAAAAAGGAAGGGGGAATCAGTAATTGGTGATTTACCACATATCTTTGTCTTTCCTAACAGTCATTTTTAGTGCCCTGGACACTTTATAAAATTTAACATGGCCACGGAAATGTGGAAAATACTTTACTATCACTTCGAGCCCATATAAAGATTGAAGCCTTATAGCCTGAAAGGATTTCGGTAAAAGAGGCCACACTCAAATTAATTTCAGCCAATATATGCCAGAAGATAACTTAATAGTGCTTGCAATATAATATTGTTCACAACAAATCTTGTAATTCCCACAATCATTTTAAAGATTTCAGGAGAAATCTGGGTTCAGCTTTGATATGCACCAACTTATCAAATTAGACCCTTAAAATGACAAGTGTGTGTGTGTTTGTGTGTGTGTGTGTGGGGGGAAGAGGTCAAAGAATGTTAATCTAAGCCAGTGTGGGAGATCCGGAAGTGAAAGTCCACATATTTTAAAAATTGCCAAAGTTGAAAAACACTGATCTAAGCTAATCTTTCTGGGACAGCCTCATCCAGATTTGCTGGGCATGAAGGCCAAGGTTCTAGAAGCTGAAGTCCAAAATCTGAATGGCACTCAGTGGGGGAAGGTTGATCAAAACAAAGCTGAAGGAACCATAATATTTCTTTGAAAATGCCTGCTGTTTGAAAGATGGGAAAATGCTACTTGTCAATTTCAAGTCAATCGTATAAATGAAGTGTTACGTCTGCCTGTACCTTATTATCATGGAAAGTTTTGTCACCAATTACCTTTACAACTGTCTAGCAATTTGGCAAAAATTATTACTTTAACAGGTTTTATTGGCTGCCATCCCATGCAGAACTCTCTTAATTGCAACAGCAGCCCTGCCAGACCAGCATCTGGTGGGTGAATAGAAACCTTCAAAAGCTGACAAGAGGAAGCAAAAACAGCTATTCCATGTGTGTGTGTATATGTGCGGGCGACCCTTAATCAATTTATCAATATTATTTCATTCCAGTTGTCACATTCTACCTATCCCCCTTCCGATATTACTCTTTGGCATACTTTGCATATTTTTTCCCTTCAAATGTAATGTCCCACCCCCAATGTGACTGATTACTTGCTTGCAGATGACCACCTCCAATAAGACCAAGCAAGAGATTACTTATCACAGCTGAGTCTAGGACTATTGGGGTGTATTGGAACTACTACTCCAATAACCATGCCTCAGAGGATTCTGGGAATTCTCTTTCCCAGCCATCTAGACTAGTGGGCAACCCAACAGCCTTTGTAGAAGGGGGAATTCTAGCAGGCAATTCAAGGGCTGGAAATCTGGTGGCCAATCTCTCTTGCCATCCCCAGAGCAAGGAGCAACATTTCTCTGGAGCAGTGTTTTTCAATCTCAGAAACTTTTTAATTTCTGAGAACTTCAACTCCCAGAATTCTCCAACCAATATGTTAGCTGGGGAATTTTGGGATTAAAGTCTACATATCTTAAAGTTGTTGAGGTCGAGAAACAGAGCTCTAGAACTTCTAGGTTAAGACCTGCTTTCTTATTAAAACGTAAGTTCATTTGCTAAAGCAAAACTATTAAAATGTCAGCAGAGCGTGAAAATATAAGCAAAAGCTTCCAGATTTTCCCTGCAAACCAACCACTGAATAAGCCAGTCGAGATTGAAGGTCAGCTTGCTTCCAGGAAAGCTCATACCATATATAAAATGGCAGCCTAAACAAGTTTCTCGCAATACCAAAACACCTCCAGATCTTCGCCAGAGTTTCTTTCTCCCCCGAAAGGCACTTTTTAAAAATATTCCTCTTTCAACAATGCCATAAGCGCGATTAGCATCTCGAGTGAACCTCCTGAGGTTCCGGCGCTGGGTTCGCAGGGCGTGGCGCGGCTGTTCGGCTGAAAGAGGAGCCTCTGTTCCGGCCGGCGCCCCATTCAGCCGCCTACGATTCGCCCGCAGCGGAGAGCGCCCTCGTTCCGGCGGTTCCTTTCCCAAAAGCAGGCTCTCCTTATCAACCCCTTTTTCTTTCCTTGGCGGGCATCTCGGGCATCGCCCCTTCCCAAGAGCCCCAACGAGTTGAACCGTCGGGAGCAACAGGTGACCTTGCAAACTCACCAAGAGTATCCACAGGCCGGGCCCTGCCATGCCGAGGTATCCAGCCATGGTCCAGCCCTCCGTCCTGAACTTTCGCGCGTCCTGAACTCCGGGTCGACAGCAGCAGCAGCCTTTTCCGCTCACCTCTCCGGAAGGGAAATAGGGACTCTGCTTGGAGCGCCTGGACTCTTGGTGGCGACTTAACCCAACCCCTTTCCTGCTGGCGGGGAGTAATGAAAACAGAGTTGGCTATCAGCGGCGGGGGGGGGAGGGAGGAAGAGGAACAGCCTAGGGGCGGAGAATACCGGTCTGGAAAGGCTCACCAGGTGGGTGCGGGAGCCCCGCCCGCCCTTTGACTCGGGTTTCTGCGGGACTGGGGGAAGGACGGAGAGAGAAGGGGGGGGGGGAGGGAGTAGCTGTTGACATTTGCCTTTTAGGGTGAAGGGCTGCATTTGGAGAAGGCGCCCCTTTTCTGGAGGCAAAGGGCGAGGCTGCTCCTACGAGCTTCAATGCAACCTGAGTTCCTTTTGCCTCCAGCACGGCCCTCTTTGCTGCCTGGCGGCGTCCAACTTACCGTTTTCCTCTTCCTCGCTTGATCCTGCTCTACTCTTGTCCCGGCGGAATTCCTGATCGCTTTCCTGTCCGCAATCGCCTTCACTTCCAGCTCGATAGGGAGTTTGGAGCCGTCTTATTGCTTTACGTAGCTTTTATCCGCTTGCCATGAAGATACTCTCCTAACTCGACTCTCTCTTCATCACTGGGGGTTTTTAAGTAGGGACTGGACAGTCACTTATCTGAAATGGTATAGGATCGCCTGCTTGAGCAGGGGGCTGGACTAGAAGACCTCCAAGGTCCCTTCCAGCTCTATCCTGATTCTGATTCTGTTGTCGGTCGATCCCGCCGACAACAATGTGCCCACAGGGTTCTGACCCAGACACGTAGCTCGCTCCTCTCCCTTCTGTCGTGAACCCAAACAGTCTACTCTAACGCAAATCGGGAAAGCGGAGAGAGAAAAGGGAATTATAAAAGAGGTTTTACAACTCGGCCGCTTCTTTTTCAGATTATTAGACGTCGTCTCGGTAAACTATGGTTTCTAGTATCGGTTGCGGCTTGCAAAGATTAACACTTGTAGGCAGTGGCCAAATTGTTTACTTTCCCTTAGTGGGTTGATACTTCATAAGAGCAGGGATGATTAGTTTACCTACAATCCTCTAAAAATTCCATTTAAGCTTGTGGTTGTCATAAACTCAGGGCTGGATTAAGATACTTCCGCGGGTCAAAAGAGATGCACTTTCGACAGTGATAGGAGAACGGTAGACGCTTGTTAAAGTAATTTCTTTTAACGGCAAAGTGTAAAGACCCCGTCGCTGCTTTGGATTTGCTGTTAATAAATTCCTTTGAATGAATTGTGAGCGGAAAATGCTTCTCTTTTCATTCTCTGCCTGCCACATTGAATATTAAAGTTTTCCTTCCGTAATTGCCTTTTTATCTCTTGATAGTAACACTTCCTTTGCTAAATGGTGTTTTCTCTGCTTAGTTAATGGTTTTTCCCCAAGGTATAATTCAGACCAATTTCTGTAGGAAAGCTGTTTCAGCCTATTGACCAAGGTTAATGCCTGCCTAGTTTCAACACAATCATGTATTCCTTAAGTTCATCCAGTAAGGCATGTTTTGATACTAATACTGTTGTAAGGACGAACAGAAGTGAGAACATAACAGAATAATAGAATTGGAAGGGACATTGGCGGTCTTCTAGTCCAACCCCCTACTCAACAGGAGACTGTATACCATTCCAGACAAGTTGCTGTCCAGTTTCTTCTTAAAAGCCCCCAGTGATGGAGCACCCACGACTTCTGAAGGCAAGCTATTCCACTGGTTCTCATTGTTAGGAAATTTCTCTTTAGTTCTAGCTTGCTTCTCTCCTTGATTAGTTGATCAAGTGATCATGATCAAAGTAGATCTAAAAAAAAGGGAGAGGTTTACAAAGATACAGTTTTCTTTTTTTTTTAAAAAAAAAGCAGTCTAGACTATGGCTTTTGTTCCTTTTTTACCTGACACTGGTGATAAAATCTCAGGTCCAAAAAGGTTTTGCCCATCATACAAACCAAAGAGTACATTCAAAAATATATATTGATGACCATTATATTGATGGCAAATAAATTTGTACATGCAGGTTTTGCAAACTTTTATTAATCAACAATTCAGTTATGTGAAGGCATTTCTGTAGAATGCATTTGAAGATATCCTTGTTATGATTATGGCACTGATACATATACAGTTGGTACAATTGGTGTGCAGAACTTAACTGGAGGGCACTTTTTTGCAGGCCAAAAAGAATAAGATATATTGAGATTGTTGAATAAAATTAAAAATTGTTGGGCAAAAAACTTTAAGTCATAAAGGGCTAGAGTATCTGAGATGTAAAAATTCAGTTGATGGATCATGGCGCAAAGGGATACAAATAATGTGAAGTCTATTGCCATCTAAAAGTTGTTTGGGATTATATAGCCTAGATAATAGTAATCCTAGTTAACCCTAGGTTTAGAACATATATTACATTAAGCCAAAACCATGCAAATCACAATGGTGTAATGGAATTTTTGAACCCATTTGTAAACCACATAATTATTTTATAAACTTGGGTTTTGTGGGTGGATTTTAAACTGGGAATTTTGTGCACATCTAGCCATTTGTGATTAACCATGATCATGTAAACTGTGTTTGGCTGGTTAGAACCCTGAAGTGAGACACTACTTTTCAGTAGTGGTACTAAATTTTTTATATTTTGTTACAGATTGTTCTACACACACACACACACACACACACACACACACACACATTTTGAACAACTGTACAAAGTTTTTCTTTGCAGCATCCATTCTTAAAACTTAGAAACAATATATATATTGGATAAAAAATCAGAAACAAGCTGTAACCTGCCAAGCAATTATTTCTGTTAACAGGACTTGCTTAGACTTGTTATGATATTTCTAATATGGATTCTTTTTAAGGGTGTAGCAGTACCCTGGACAAGAGATTTTAAATGAGAGAGAAAGAAAAAACAGTGGTGCTAGTTCTTCCAACTGGAAACATACGAAAACATAAATTTGT